TATAGACCATCTATTAATTAATATTTACATGGAGCGTATATTTCACAAACAAAGAATTTCATAGATATCTTATACATGGCGTGTAATTGTTAATTTGCATAATTACTCTATAATTATTTCTCCCTGTAAATCGTTATCATTAAAACGTAGAGCGTTATCAATTTTTAAAGGTGGCTCAGAGTTACATAGGATTTAATAATCTCAGATTTAATAATAGATATACGCCGCATAATTGTAATCCTCTTTAAATATTTGAGTGCTAATCCTCCAAAAGTTGTCGGAGAGCCACGGCGCGCGACAATTCCGTCATAATTTCTGCGGCCACACACGCCACGCCGCGCCGCGCCGCGCCGCGTCGTCTCGAAATTCAAATCGAGCACCGCAAGCACCTCTGATAATTAGAAAGTTCATTACCCCGACAACAGAGTGACAACGGCAGAAACCCGTATCTCCACTGTTGCAGCTCGACGACTCTATGAGGTCTCTCAGCTTTACCGCTTTAGACTCGCGTCTATCTATATATATTGGTATCATCGGCAGGTATCCGCCATTGATGGCAAAGCCCACACGCATTGCGCACTATAGAAAAGCATCCTACGTCCTATGACAGAGACTCACTTGTAGATAACAGTATCAATTGTAACTTAAAATACAAAGCGTACACAATAAGCAAAGCGGTTGCAAATACCTCATCCGCGAAAAATGTTTTTTTTTTCTTTTGAAACGCAGCATTCTTGTCTTTTCGTGTCAATTCTTATCATTTTGTCGCGTTACACAGGCGGAGCTCAATCGTTTTAGATTTAACGTCAGGACAAACAGAATTATCACGTTTCAGATTACAGCAAGGCCGCCCGATTCGATTACGCATTATGAGATTTCGCGAAGCGGTGTCAAAATCACACAATATATTCTGGGTACAGGACATGTCCGTAACGTCGTTATCGGTTAACGCGATTTTCACGTAATATCTTCGTCGCGATACTACAGGATATATTAAATTCATTATTTAATAAGATTGCAACAGAGTAAACTATCTTTTTCTCCAAGTATACATATAATCGACTCACATGTATTTTTCCGTCTGATATTACATATATGAATATAAACATGAGATGCTTGCTCAGAAAAATTTCATTTCATTTGGCAGTCAAAGACAACGCGTTTCAGTAGACAAAATCGATTTAAATTTGATTAGAAGGATACGTTCTCTCCAAAATATCTCTTTCCAAATCTTATACGTTTGAGCGTCACATAACTCGTTTCGTATATTACAATAGTTAACATATCGCACTGGCAGCAAGCTTATTCCATAAAACGTTACAAGTTGCAACATGCGACGACCGCGACTGGCACAATGTCGTCCCGAGTAATATCATTATTTCGCTGCGCCGTGGAAGTTATTACGGGACACGATTCACTATTGCATATTGAACATTTTTCCTCGGATTTATATCGTCATCGTCATTTCGTTGGAAATTCCGTCGGAAAAGTTGGCGCCGTATACCTGGAAGAGAAAGATAATAATTGGAACATAGTATGACATTTTGATGAACCTGACAAACATCATACACACGAGGTCCAACCTCGTCATTATCTTATTCTATTTGACTACCTACATTATCGATACCATTTTGATATGTAGTTCGTGTGAATGTCTGTGGAAATGACGTGCTCGTGCGAGTTCACCGGGATGAGAAAAGATATTTAACTTTCTATTTTTCCTCCTGCGAAAGAGGTGACCCACAAATAATGTTGCTAATAACGGACAGCTACGATAAAGCGTGCAATTTAAATATCGGGAATAACCTGAAATTAGCTCTTTAATCTTTCAGCAGTTTATAAAGTGGAGAAATAACACTCAACGCGTCGATTCTACATTTAGATATGAATGGAAAGTCTAATTGCAACGCGTTTTGCGAAATAACCAAGCCGCTTTATTCATGAATAAATAAACTGAGGTAGTGCAATGTGTTACTACTTGGCCTAAGTACACAACCGCTTGATGCTTAAATATTGCGGTAGCATTTGTTACCGTGCGGACCGAAAATGTTAATTACATTCTAACCACAATACCGTCCGTGGTTTAGCTAAGCATGAGTTTTAATCCCAAGCAATCTTCTATGTTCAATTCGTACATGAATAAAGGAAGATATTAAATTTTGGCCGTTTTTCGATTAACACAAGAAGTTTCAAGATATACAAATTTTATTAAAGTACTACTTAAACGGAATCAAGTGGGTACCGTTTATCTTAGGGAAACATCAAGAACACGTGATTAAATGTAGAGAAAGATCACCGATACCGACATACCACTTTGTTTTTAGACAATATTTCTTAAACAAAAGGTAAAAATACAACTTCAAAAACATAAATACAAACTAAAAAGTGTCTATCAGATAGTATAAGCAGTTTTTATAATACTGTTTGCAATTTTGCAATTATTAAGTTTTTCGTAAGTTATGCAAAAATGAGCGTCTGACAAAATGGGCTCCAAAACTTACATAGTAGGCAATAATTCCTATTCTATAAATAAAGATATATTCTATTCTGTAAAGAAAACTAATTTATGAAACTATAAACATTTAAAATGACATAATATTATTAATAATACAGTCACTATTATTTTAATTACGCAATTTGCAAAAGAACACCGTAAGAATTTTCTTCTCGGATTCATAGAATTTGTTTTTAGCTGATATAGATTTGATATAGAAATAAGTCACAAATATATGAATTATTGTACTTCTTTAATTAGCTAAACAGATCATGTTTTTATTAGTATTAATAAGGTGCAAATGTTAGTTTCTAAGAAATAAGGGGATGTCGCTTTAGGAGACCTATGTCAGTATCGGTGACCTTCCTCTAATAAATACATTATCACTTTTATTACTAATAAAAAGTTAAGTATTAAGATATCGGGAAAAAGCAATAAGGACTGTATTGTTTTTTTTTTATTTAAACACACATATACTATGAATAAAAGAATCATTTGATTTCGAATTCTGGCTTTAAATAGCGAATACGCTTATGAAGTTATACGTGGTAGTACTTATAACGAAGTTATAAGTACAGTTTTTATTGCTTAATTTCCGGGATATCTTACTTAACAAATTTTAAATTTATTGCTTTTGATATATAATGATTTCTTTCATGTTTACAATGTTTTTTTCATAATAAACGATACATGTTGAAACTTCTTCATGTTAGTCGAAAAACAGCCAAAATTTAACATCGTTCTTTTGTATTCCATTATAAAGAAGTTTGAAGTCGTAACATTGACGAACCTAATTAGAAGCAGAGAACTACTTTTGATCATATAAGATAAACGTCCCAGTGTTCGGACATGTACCTATGTCCGGACACTTACACAAAATTTATTATTATTAATTTCAAATGCTTTTTTTATTACAGTATTATAATTTATTTGCATTTAAAGATTACAATTAAATTATAATATTACTTTTTATTAAAAAGCGTATTTGAGACTAATATTAACTTAAATAAATAAAATGCGGACATAGGTTATCCGGACATAAGTACATGTCCAGTTACTAAGATCGGACAGTACCTATGTCCGGACAGTTACATAAAACTTTATTTATTTAAATTAATATTAATCTCAATTTTTTTTGCTTTATTTACCTTAAAGATCAATTTGAATTAGTTGTCTTTTGTCATTAAACATCTATTTATATTATTATTTTCCGTCAGCATACTAATTTTCTAATTGTGCTCGGATACTGGGACAAATAATTTTTCTTTGCTTAAGGGAGTCTTGAGTTTTCAAATGAATACAAATATTTATATTAAAAACTTTTTTGATATTATAAATTGTATTATTTATGAGAACCTAACGCTTAAACGTCCGGCTACTGGGACATTTACCTTATACATCGCAAATTATTATAGGGTGACGCACGAGAAATATCCCGTTTAATTATTTCATTAAAATTGTACTTTTGAAGTATCGGATTTTTTAACCGTTAGAACAAATTTTGTACTCTGTAAAAATTCTATTAGGTGAGATATCACGAGTTTGAATTAGAGAGAGATGAAAGTGCACTAATTTGTAAAATGGCGGTTAACTTAAAACGTTGATCATTAAGTGGAAGTTGTATTCTGTTGGTTTTCATGAAAACAAAGAGTGTGGCAGAGACTCGAAGACGTTTCCGTGCACCTTATGCAGTTGTATGTTATTTGAAGATTTGTGTCGAAAAGGAGTCAAACTCAAAGGTGTTATGAGCCAAATGATGAGCCAATGACGATCATGTTAAATATCATTCATTAGCGATATTTTCTAAGCTTTATTTATTAGTTTTACTTCAATTCTATACTAATTTTGTTAAAAATAAATGTGTTATACATAAAACAAATAGCATGATACTTCACGTATCCTGCATTTCACAAACTCGTGTATGCGGCTTCACTTACGACCCAATTTCGATGATACACGTAATGTCACTTTACAGAATTTCCACGAAATACAGAACTTGTTCATACAGTAAAAAAACCAAAAAAATATACTCCACAAGTATTATAGTTTTAATGAGATAATTAAATAGTATGACATTTTGTCTGCCACCGTGTACATTAATCGATACGAGAATGGATTGTAATAAAAGAATTATACAACAATCGAAAATTATCAAAAATGCCAAAAACTAACAATGTAAAGAATAATGCAAAAATTATTCAGAATTTTTCCACGAATTTTTCCACGATATTTCTTTGTTTTTCACATTCCCATCGAAGGCATTGGAACTCGTATAAAACAATGTTACATAGCACGAATTTTCCTCACCATGGAAAAGGTCGAAGGTAACTTGCATGGATATCCCTAAAAAAAAAAAACATTCTGTTCCTATCCATGTCAAACAATTACCTCGAACTAGCCCTATAGAGTAGTTATCTCGTAACACACCTCGAGCGACACAAACGCGCGTTGGCAATCGTGAGAGACCTTCCACTGAACACCGAAATGGCGTTGTGTGTTCCAGCAGCATCCGAACGCGATCAACAATAGCGAAACGAGCGTGGGCGGCACGTCGGGTGCGTGCGGAAGCATCCCGGCGCCCGGGGAGGCTGGATGCAGCAGCAGAGTTGGCAGCAGCAGCGGCGTCGGCGGCAGCGGCGGTGGCACGAGTTCCGGACAAGGCTGCGAACAGGCCCATGGAGGACCGTCCTCTCATTCACGGGAGAGCCACGCTAAGTTTCGACACGGCCTGCTGCAGCTTATGATCCACACGATCGATCCGCTCCACGACGGTCAGTCCCGCGCCGGTATACCAACTCCACACTCTATCACTCTCGCTTGCAGCTTGTGCTTTTCTGTTAGCACGATGATTATTTGTTTCTTTAGTGCCTGTTCTATGTTATTCTATTATATCGCTCGCGCTTGTTCTGCATCTCTCATGCGTGCACACCCGCGTGCGCTTATCGCTCCGTTCGCCATGATATCAAATATTCACGTTCCATCGCGTCGATGCGGATGTCACAATTTCGTTGTAATTCTACAAAAGTTTGACCTGCTCAATTAAATTGTTATGACGTCGCTTTTGATAATACTTGCAAGATCGATTCATGCATTTTTCATGAGCTTCAGTATTTCGAAAAATGTGGATTCGTTACACCGGAGAAGATACACATACGCATTTCTTTTGTTTCTTTTTTAATAATAGTGCTTTATTTTTTAAATAAATGGTTATTCAGCGCAATGAGATATCAGATTCTTGCTTGCTAAAATAAATGGACGTTAAAATAAATGGAGCCATTATTTAAAAAATCAAACCAAATTGAAGTGGTTACAACGCGAACGCGTAGAAACGGCGATAACGATGAGAATTCCCACGAAATTTCAAAACAAATATTAATAAATGCTTGATCGAAGCCAATTAAGAATCTCTCGCAGCGGAGCGATGGCGAAACGCAGCCCAACGAAATTTTTTTCTAGTAACACAATTTTGTTGTGACTTAACGAGATTTTTTATCATTATTACAACCATTAATTAGCGTAGATAACAGCTATTGTTGTCTGTGATGTAATTACGCTACAGCATGAAATTTCAAACGCAATCAATCTATTAGCATGCAAAATCGTGATATCTTGAAAAATACAGTCACATAATTGTGATGCTGTTCGATAACATTTTATTTGTTGCATGTTTGTACAATTGATAGTCGCGACGCTTTTGTGTAATGCCGCAGGCAAGCTGAACCGACGGGCTTTCGGAAGCTCGTTCCGACGATGTATCTCTGAGACAGTCACAGAATTTCCGACAGCTCGACAGATAAAGTGTTTTTAAATGTAAAACTATGTGAGCGTTTAATAAAAAACCCCGCGGCTTTACGTAGCAGTATAAGTACGTGCTCAAGGCTTTAATCTCTTTGGAAATTCTACTGCGAATAAAATTTCACTCTCGTAACTGAAACGCCATAAAGTTCAAATGGCAAAAGACTCCGCAGTTAACTCAAATCGGTTAATAAATTTTCAATTTTTAATATGATAAATAAATAATAATTTTTACAAGCTTAGTAAATTATGTCTAGATGAAGTGCTAATATTTTTAATTTACTGTTATTGAAATGTGCAGTTTGTATTCTATATCATTGTTATAGAAAAAAAATTTCTCTGTGTCGAATGAGTGTGTATCACTGTTTATAATTTTTGCACAATGTTTATATTAATGCAAAAATCGAAAAGCATCGTTCCTCTTCAATCCAAAGAAATTTATTTACTTATTTTATCATACGAAAGACAATAATCAAACTGGCTAGATATCCAAACAGAAAGAATCACGCGGAAGCGCATTACTTGGGGAGCTTCTATGCAGATTCGTTCTTATAGCCGCATAATTGTCATATCGAAACTTATTGATAAGTAGAGCATCGTTCGTTCATTGATGTCACAACGACGTCTGAAATGTGTGTGAAATAAGGACGGCGCCCACATTTCAGAAGATGCATGTTGATTTAATAACAACAGTTTCATGAATGACAAACGTAGCTATATAGATAGCATAGCCTTGCTATATTGAAAGCTTGTTTGTCAGAGATCTACAGCATGCATGTCATATCGATCGCGACGGTAAAAAGTTCTTAACGCACGCCGCATGTTACACTTATTCTCTATGTCTTTCGATTTTTTTCCATATATTTACAGAATTCAAGAGGACATAACCATCAATTAACGAATAATATTTTATATGGAGTTATCCTCTTCCATAAATATAAAGCGAGGCTTTAGCGACGTTGCATCTATGCGCGTTGCATCTATGCGCGCATCTATGCAAGCCCGATAAAAACTCCCCCGTGCAGGAATTTTGTATCGAACGCCCTTAAAGCTTGATTGGTTTAAATTTCCACTGTGTTCGGGATGCGTCCAAAAATAGTTATCGATGACGAACGTGATCGCTGGGTCGTGCCTCAGGCTATAGCCGTCCGTTAATAAATAATTCGGTGGAGATTGGAAGCGCGTAGGAAGTCAATGCCATGATACTTTCCGTCCTAAATTATTAGCGTTATCGTCCGTTAACTGTTCGCAAACGTTTAGCGCACACATTACGCTCAATTATATCCTTCACGGTATTAAATCGAATATTCTCGTGATTGGCATTTAAACGTCTCGTTAGCTCATGTCGGCGTTAAATCAGACTTTGATTTAGCTTCTGCACTAAAAGGCCTATTAAATAGACACGCGCAGTATCTGCCAAATGGAAAATACATTTATTAAAATGTTCTCGGTTCTCTTATAAATATTCCCATATATCTAATCCTTTTGACATCGTCACGTATCTGTGGCCAAATATTTTATAACGCAAGTGTTTCACACCAAATAAGCTCTTATAAATATACGGTACTCACGAATGCAAAGTGTTTATCATCATATAAACGATATTTCAACTAAAGACCAGAGCATAGACGTCTTGCATACGCATAATGTATAAAGCATAAAAAAATCAACCAATTAGATTCTTTTATAGAAAGGAAGGAAATGAAGGACTTCAAATTGGCTCATTTTCTTATACAATATGCGTTTTGCGTATGCAAGACTCAAAGCAGCCTTAGCCTCTTATAACCGGAAGAATAGTCGGACAAATTCTGCTGTAATATTGTAACTAATAACAAAAACTTATTTAGGGCTAATTGTAACATAAATTTTAATTAATTGTCACGTTGAGCTTTTCAGTTAAAATCTGAAAAGCACAAATTACAACAATTGGACTATATCATTAATCAATAAGGATTCCATCTAGAAACTTGGCTTCATATGTTTGCAATTATCGTTAGATATATGATCGGTCATCTTGAATCGCGGCCACGAGCGCTTCTGCAGACGTGACATCCTTGCATCTAGGTTCTCGAATACCTAAATTGACGATTTCCGCGAACGTTGAACAATCATACCCGTATTTCCGTTTATTTACGTCAAATCGCGACTAAACAAACGGACACGACAGAACAGAATAAAATCTCATTTTATTCGGAAAACGTCAGATGTGTGGGAAAGGATAGCAAGGTACGCACTCAATCGCGATATATCAGCTCGATCAGAACGTTGGAGGATTAAGTGCGCGCGATACGACGCGTGAAAGCACCGCTTGGTTCCAGTCGGGGGTCGGAGAATAAATGCGAGTCCATTCCGTGATATTTCTCCCTTGTTCGCGGCTACCCGTGTACATTTATAGATCGAAGCGTGCGCGAGCGCTCGAGACGGCGAACATTATTTTACCGTAGTCCCACGGTTACTGCACATGCGGTATTAACAAAAGCGTGGATAACAAAAACGTGATAACGTTTCCATTTGCTAAACGAGCCGGATTACCGGATTGGTTGCGACGCAACGGCTCAAATTTCCGTTCATCCTGCTGAAAAAATGCCGTTGTTCCGCGCGATTGTGAGTCTTATTCGGTTTCCCGGACGAAATCTTGCACATCAATCTTGCCCTGATAAATAAATAATGAATAAAATAGAACGCTCAGTGCGTGAACAATTGCGTGAGAGATGAGGAAAATCTCTGCAGAATATGTTACTTAAAGCCGACGTGTGATATATCATTTAAGTTTGTTTTATCATTCTGATTATTGCTGTTAATCCCTGTGCAAACAGTTAATTATTATGCACATTATTTAATACATTGCTCATTTTCCGAATATTTTTGGCCAAAGGTGAACGGAATTTTTAGGAAAATACGGATTTGCTGCTGACAACAAATGCTTCTCTTTGTTAGGCCCGTGTATGCACCGTTAATATGGATCGACTCAAAAATAAGGACAGCTCGTATATATCAGCGCTCAGTAGACAAAATGCGGGCAGTGACGGGTTGCAGTCTGCGCGAAAGAGGGCTGCCTAATTGATGGTTCTTTTCAGTGGCGCGTGACCTGACCCATTTGTGCGACCGTCTTCGGCTTACACAGTACGAAATCAATCCTATACGAGGTTGCCGGGTTCTGGGGTTAGCTCGTGGATTAAGATCTCTATCAGCCGTACCGCGCGAGAGCCTCTCTCTATATTTAATTTAGAGCGGTTAACAAACGCCGCGAGAACTCGTTTGAGAGCCATGAAAAGGGTTGATATGCGATCGTTCCTAAGGATAAGCGTGCGATTATCCGATTAGATCGATCCGATAATCCCAAGCGTTGAAAATGGTTCCAGAGAAGAAAAGATTTCCAGTGCGATGACGTTTGGGAAAGTTTGTTCTCCCGCAATTTCAGCGAAAGTGTTCACTCAAAAGTAACAATAACTATTGATTGTGAGAAGCAATTATCGGGAATTATTGTTAAAAAGATTGCCACTGAGAATAACACTAGTTTAATTACAGCTAAAAATTATTTTGAATTAGATATCTCTTATAGATTTTTGGATGCTGAAAATGATATTCCAAATCAAATTTCAGCACATTAAATTTCCGAAATAATTAAGATTTAAAAATGGCTTTCGTAATAATGGCTTTGAAATTTTTTTGTAAAAAGAGATTAACATGATAGGTATAGGTTGAAATTCTGATCGAAAGCCATAAATGTTATTGTTCATTCCCTTTAAAATTATATATTTTTTATTTTAATATCTTTTTTTAGTCATATATGAAGGATTTAAATGTAGAGTTTTACTAATGTAAAATAACAAATTTTTCGCCTGTGGCTTCTGATCAGAATTTCAATATAACTTTTTTTACAAAAAGATTTCAAATATGTCACAAAAAGTCATTTTTAACATCATTAAACCTCAATTATTTCGGAAATGCAAAGTGCTGATGAAATTTGGCTCGCGACATCATTTCAACA